ACATTACAGCATCGGGTAAGAAAGAACGTTTTTTTTCTTTTTCTTCTGTGTTAAAGTAAAGCTTGTTTTTGATGTAAACGTGTGAGAAATCAAAATGTGCAATATAAGAAATTTATATCATTAAAATATTATGTCTTACATAAAACTGACATAAACAAACTGATGTATTCCACTCTTCCACTCCGGCCAAAATGGCCGATGTTCGCGTGCGCAACGAGCAACTTTAATTGACTTCCGCTTCCCGCCTAAATGCATTTCCCTTTACTTAATACCTAACATATTACAAATTAACAAAATTGTTTATAGCAGCTATAGCATACTTCGTACAATATTGCGAAATCCTATTAGTATCAAATTGGGTCGGATAGATATACAATAATAACAAATATGATTTTTATACAAAAATATATGTCGAGAACTCATAAATATTAACTATTTTTTATTGTACAGTATAATGACTTTCCTCTAATATGTTTATCTCGACAATGATATAGATTGGGTAAAGAAAGTAAAGAAGTAATACAAATAATTATTTTGGCATTGATTGCTAGAAATCAGCTGTTACTTTTGTCCAACTAAGCTTTGTTGAAAAATAGATTAAGACATAACAATTGATCTTAGTTCAAATGATGTGCTGCCCGAACCGTAAATAGCTTTTCGTAACATTAATTTGGCAGACGTAATAGATGTTGAAAACTGAAGACTAGTATTAATTTACTGGTCCGAAATTTTATTCGCTGTGCCATCAATTTAAAAGAAAGGTGATCAAATCCTTACCAACAATGTAGAACTAAATAATACTAAACTAAAAGAGTTCTTATTTTTTTCCTTTTCGATTACCTTAAGGACATTTTCCGGGAAAGAATAGCCTATGGGCTTTTTCATACTCAAGTCCGTGGCGTTATCTAGTAAAAGTCATCAAATCATGCCATCTTTAGGAATAGAATAGATTATTTATTGTGAATAACTGTAAATCATCGATTTAATAATGCTTAAATGCTAAGAACAGATTTTGACTGATGATAACGGTCCAGTAGCATTTGTTCCACATACACTTTAAACAGAATTGGTATGTAATTGAAATTCTTTACGTGTACCAATTTACTTTGCCCGCAGACACGAGGGTTCTTCCAATACACAACTTCCAATAAGATTCACATTAGAGTCACAGCGCGTTTGCGGTTAGTGTTAGAGATGTTACAAATATCTACATCGCAACTACATCTCCAGATTAAGCCAATAATTCAAACTATGTAGACATAAAACACAGTAATTTTGAAACATTCATGTTATTTATACAGAAGTAAAAATAATAATTAATAATCATTTTCTAAAAACAGGTTTCAAGTTACCATAAGGTTTGTATCATTAATAGATGTAAAAAGCGGTTTCTATTTATAGACACACAAGATGTCCTGATATCCAGTTGATATCACCTCAACTGAGCTATAAACCACAACCTTCAAACTCGATTCCTATATTTATATATACAATATCAAATGAAAACATTTTATTGCGTATTGTTTTTGTACCTACAAACTGAAAAAACATACTCAACTAAGAAAAGGAAAAATAAATGTTTTTAATCGTTTCATGGAAAAGTTAATTTATATTTTAGTCCTTATCCATATTAAATATGCAATAGAATAAAACAGCTGTGTTATATGAAACTGGTGTACAATGAACTACGTAGTACACGAGAGCAGCAAATAAAATCACACAGAACGTCAAACGAATTACCATTTGTTTCCGCTTATCCACCGCCGACGTGAAAATCGTTTTTCACTCCTTTTGTATTTTGTATGCATGTTACTGCCTGAATATTTAATAAAACGTACTAGGATTTCAAATATAAAAATGACTCGCTTGTTGTGCAGTTATTGACCGAATCAAAGTTTTTTTTTGTTAAACCGGTGCTTATCAACGCGATGAGCACATCAGCACACCCAAACAAACTGCAGATAAGAGGCGTTGTATGTTGCCCGCTTTGCTATTAATCAGTTTTCAATACATGCACTCAAAAAGAAATATATGTGCCGGCGTAGCCTATGGTCATAACCACCGAGCATTGGTAGGGCGGCCATCTGGAAAAACTGTCAATACGATTCGAGTTGCGTTAGGGTGCGCAC